GTGCAACCAAACAGAAAACACCAATCAGAATTTGCTTCGTATCATCGATACGAAATAAAATTCTGCTTTCTGATTGATTGCCATAGACTTATAAGATAGACGGAGCGTTCATACGAGAGGAGCTGAAGACAACATTAGCTTATAGCGTTTTCGGCCCGACCGGGTTTGACCAACCTGGGTTGGATTAATGGCGTTTTGCGCTCTCCTATTGGTAGAGCGTGTGACATCAACCAATAGGAAAGATTAATCCAACCCAGGTTGGTGCAAACCCGATCGGGCCGAAAACGCTATTAGTTTCCACCAAGGGTTTAAACCGGATCGGAATGTAAGAACCAACAAACTACAGTCGAGTATTCCCCTGTTACAGTTGAACGACAGGGGAATGCTCGACTGTAATTGGTTGGTTCTTACATTTTGATCCGGTTTAAACTCTCGGTGGAAACTAAGCCATTGAAGGACAGCTCTACTCCTGACATATAGCGTTTTCGGCCAGGCCAGGTTTGCACCAACCTGGGTTGAATTAATGGCGTTTTGTGCTATCCTATTGGTAGAGCGGGTGACGTCAACCAATAGGAAAGATTAATCCAACCCAGGTTGGTGCAAACCCGATCGGGCCGAAAACGCTAATAGTTGTTTCCCTCTTTCACAGTGAGCGGTGGGAGACCAATTAACTTGAGCGTAAGGCCACTACTCTCGAACGTCCATCTTTAAAGCGGGGTCTACAATAGAAGTCGTAGCCGTCGTAGAGTCTTAAGTCGTAAAAAATTAACCAATCGTAATCGAATATGAGAAGAATAATCGACTACGATTGGTCAATTTTCTACGACTTAAGACCCTACGACCGCTACGACTTCTATTGTAGACCCCGCTTTAAAGATAGACGTTCGAGAGTAGTAGCCTTAAAATTAACCAATCATAGTCGATTATTCTTCTCATATTCTACTGTGATTGGTTAATTTTCTACGACTTAAGACTCTACGACTGCTACGATTTCTATTGTAGACCCCGCTTAAGGGTCCTCTACATAAAAGTCGTAAACGGTCGTCGAGTCTTAAGTCGTAGGAAACTGACCAATTCCAATCGAGTATTCTCCTTACATTTGATTGTGATTGGTTAGTTCCCTACGACTTAAGACTCCATGACCATCTACGACTTCTATGTAGAGGATCCTTTATTGCTCTCGGCCACTTCCCGGCCTGCCGCGGCGACTAATCAATTCACTACTAGAAAAGAAGAGAACTACTCCGCGACTGTTTCTTTCTCTTTCTATCACGTCTTCAGCTTCTATCGTACGAATGCTCCGTCTATCTTATGCTGGATTTACACTGCATCCGATTTGCGTCGTACGACGCTCTGC